CCCAATATTACTATAAGATACTGGGTTGGGCTGTTTCCGGTACAACGTCCTAATGAATTGTTAAATTTGTTTTCAAATCCTATTCATCAGTATAAAGAAATTATTGCTTTCGTGTTGAATTATTTTGTAGTAGCTATAATATCTAAGGGAAAGGTCTTATACACACTTTCTATGTTGCTTTTTGACCTTTAGAAGAACGAATAGATGAAAGACTCAGGAAGACTAGATTAGTATTGCGTGTTGAAACAAATAAGGCATGGCATGGACCTCCTTGCAGAAGTAGGAAAAGAAATATCTTTAAATGTGACCTTGAGAGAGGATAGAACATGTCAAACTCTCCTCTTTTGTGGCACAAAAGTCTTATGTAGTTTCCTCTGCATTTCTAGCATAGCGTACGTATAGGCAGGTGCTAATAAAAATAATGAGAACCAGAATGCGAGGAACATCAGAAAGGGTGTTTATTGTAAACTTTTATTTCCTTTTCTCTTATTTCACATTTCTTTTTTATTGTGTCTATTTCTTTCCACTTCTATGTATGTCTCTGCGAAGAGATGTTTCTATAGACCCCATGCTTGTGAAAGCAATTACATTAGCAGTAGATTGGTATAAACCGTATAACTAGAAGTAGAACATGGAGTACACGTGTATGTGACAGTACATGTCTGTTATGAATTCTATGACTAGATTTGTAATGACCAAATACATTATGCTTCATATAATGTCAGAAAGAGGCGGAAAGTTTGTTCTGGACTACATACATCGCCAGCTAGAGACAAACAAAAGGTAGTAGCCGGATTGGAGAGCAAATTAGACAGAATCTGATATTACTGCACTTTATGTGGGGTTTTTATTGTTGTAAATCTTAAATCTTTACAGTTCAAGTGATTGTTAAAGCAATGTGACACTGAGAAATGGGTGTAGATAAGATTTAAAACTGTTCAAGAGGATTTGGGATTTGATTTTGAGTTACCAACCCTTCCATCCAATTGTAGTTATAGTGTCACAATGACAGATTTGGGGACACAACCTAAGCATGGCTTCAGATTACTGTTCAGTTCAGAACAAAATTTTGTTCCGCTGCAGTATAGGTGACATGATCTTTCTTCTGCTTTTGCATATAAGATGTTGTAAAAGTAACCCTTATGGTTACTGAGGACAACTAAGAAAGAATACTTGTCGCTGACTCTCTCCCCCTCTCTATCAAAGAGGTTCAGATAGAGAAACACATTAAGCATGATAGTAGCCTTATACGCAGGTGCAAATACATTCACTTAAAAATTGCATAACTACTGCCAATATGGGAATATCATACAAGTCAATAGCAAAATGTAGCAACATTTAGTAGAGTATATCATCTTCCACCTTATAAATCATCCCATTATATTGTGGAGAATTCCAATCAAATTTATACTCTTGAGAGATTTTTAAGGTCGTGGTTGAATTATTTGTTTGCTCAAGTTCTTCTAGCAATACTTTTTTGCAGAGGAACTATGTTCATTCCTGTCTTAAACTATTCTTGATGGCTAGATGACTAGTCAAACTCTATAATTATCCAAGGAGAAACAGAAACCGATGAACAAGTATGTGATCCAATGTCATCATTGGACATGCACAAATCATAATGTGGTGTAATAACGAGGAACAACATACATTGCTAGGTGTATATAATTCATATGTGGTGTTACAGAATGTAAAATCTGTAAATCGGCATGTAAATATATTCCTTACTTGTATAGCTAACAAAATCATATGAGTAGATGTGTAGGATGTTTCCTTTATTTGTTTTGGTTTGTTTTCTTTGGTAGAGTCTCTTATGTAGTTGCACAAATATCTTTTTTGATTTCTTTCCTTTGCTAGTCTCTTAGATAGTTGTATAAATATCTTGTATACGCATAGAAACACAGAAGACTGCATCAAGTTGGTACAAGAGTAGGACAGATGACAATCCTAGACAACAAAAGACAAACATATATAATGTTTCTAGCACGCTAAGGTACAAACTAGATTCTGAATACATCTATATTTAGCTCAAGCAATGGATTCTCTCTTCCTTTCGAGCTATACTGTTATGCAGTACAATAGATATAGTCTTCCATGTCTTCTTTAGCCTCTTCTTTACATGTTGTGCTTTTTCCATTACATAATAAACCTCTTAAAGTTTGTGGTGTTGTCTAAGATACCCCAAATACATTTAAGAATAAACTCCAGATCTGCCATGTATGATGGCTATGCAAGCGCAAATGGTCTACTGATTCTTAGGACCTACAGAGAAAGAATCTGCTACACAAGTTGAAGCCTCTTCTCTGAGGCCTATCGTGAGTTAAACAAGCATTATGAGCTGCTACCATCCAAACATGTCATTTTAGGTGGTAGTCTTCTAAATTATCTTCCATTATTCACCAGAATTTTCCTACCGTATTTTGTAACAAGAGCTGATAGGAAATTAGATCATTGTCTTACTTCTACACTATAGAATCTTCCATAGATCTATGTATCTTCATACTCTGGCTTCAAAAGCCAGCACAATCAGCCTCAAATATAGAAATCGCTTCTTGCTAGCTTCACATAATAATAGGGTATCATCAGCATATAGTCCATGTGAAGCCTTCGCCTGTTGCCTCCATTATCGTTAATGCTGTTAGGATCGAAATAACAAGTGGTATTAGAGCCTTGGTTATTTATCCGAAATTTTTACGGAATGAAGGCGAATATGAACAAGATGGTATATTTGAATGGGAGTCATTATAATGTTTGGAGAAGCAAGATGAAAGATTTGTTGTTTATGAAGAAGATGCATCTACCCGTTTTTTCAGCTCATAAACCCGAGACTATGTCTGATGAAGATTGGGATTTCGGGCACCAACAAGTATGTAGATACGTAAGACAATGGGTTGAAGACAATGTTCACAACTATATTGTGAATGGACACATGCGAGATCATTGTGTGAAAAGTTAGAGAGTGTTTATGCTTCAAAAACTAAAAAGTTGTTCCTGCTAAAATAATTGATGACCTTTAAATACAAGAATGACGGTCATATTCTTGATCATATAAATAATTTTCAGGGCGTCGTTGATCAGCTGTCTGGAATGTGAGTTAATTTTGATGATGAGATACAAAGACATTGGCTTCTTGAGAAACTCTTCGCGTTTTTTTGACAAATTCAACTCCTAGTGTTGAGGTGACCATGAAATATGCCAAGTGTGTTGTGTTGAATGAGGAAGTAAGGAAGAAATATTAGGGTTCGTCCTCACAAGCATATGTTTTGGTTATAGAAAACCGGAGGAGAGATAGAACAAGGGTTCGAGGAATAGAGGTAGAAGCAGAAGTAAGTCAAGGTCCAAATATCAAAATTATTCATGCAACCATTGTGGTAAGAAAGGAAATATCAAAAGGTTTTGCCACAAGTTGAAGCAAGACACTATCGAAGGAAAGAAAGAAAATAACAAGAACAATATTTCTGCTATTGTTCGAGATAACTTTCTTTTTGCTTATGATGAAAACGTCATCAATTTGGTATCCCATAAGACGAGCCGGATATATAGTAGATTCTAGAGCTATCTCACATGTCACACCAAGAAAAGACTTTTTCTCATCTTATACTCATATTGACTCTGGAGTGTTAAAGATGGACAATACCAGTGAAATTAAGGGGTTTGATGTTTGCACAGTTTGTTTAAAAACTAATAGTGGTTCAATGTTAGTACTTCAGAATATCAAGTATCCTCTAAACTTTCCTTTCAATTTGATATCCGAGGGAAGATTAGAATATAAAGGTTACCATAATGCGCTATTTAATGTCTAATAGAAGCTCACCAAGGGCTCATTAGTAGTAGCTCGAGGAGTCAAGTCTTTTGCTCTATTTTTAGTGACTACATAAATTTGGTGAAAAGTGACACTTTATCAGCATTGGCATAAAAGACAGAGTCATATGAGCAAGAGAGGGATTACGTGTTTGGCGAAGAAAAGCTTATTTTTTGGAGTGAAACAAGCAAAGCTGAAAAGGTGTATCCATTGTTTACCTGGCAAATAGAAAAGGATTTTCTTTCATAGTCATCCTCTTTCAAAAAATCCTGAATTATTGGAGCTAGTACACTTTGATTTATGTGGTCCTTTTAAAGTAAAGTCAAAAGGTGGTGCACTTTACTTTGTGACCTTCATTGATGATCATTCTCCGCAAGTTCGAGGTATATCCTTTAAAATCCAAAGATTAAACATTTGGCACGTTTAAGGAATTTCATGCCTAATTAGCTGAGAGATTGACGAGGAAACAATTAAAATGTATTTGAATGTCAATGGTGGTGAATAATGTGGACCCTTTAATAACTATTGCAGAGAAGATGGAATTCATCATCAGAAAACTCCGCCCAAGATGCCTCAAATGAATGGTTTGGCAGAGAGGATGAATAAAACTCTAGTTGAGGGGGTTAAATGCTTGCTTTCAGAGGCTAAACTTTCAAATATATTTTTGGCAGAAATCCATGTATTATCCTCCTAATGAGTATGAACTTTTGACCGGCATGGGAGAAAATGAGAGCTATGATGAAGCCATGCAAGGTACTCACAAAGATCAGTGAGTAGAAGCCATGGAAGATGAGATGAAGTCACTCCACGAGAATGACACATATGAGTTAGTGAAATCGTGAAAAGGTAAGAGAGCTTTATCAAACAAATGGATTATTAGAGTAAATCAAGATCAACATACCTTTGCGCCTAAGAGGGTGTTTGGATTGCATTTTAAAAAGTAACTTATAAGCTAAAAGCCATAAGTTAGTAGTACCCAACTTTTGGTTTTTGGCTTATTTTTGTACTTTTCATGCCTAAAAGTAAGTTTTTTAAGCACTTTTTAACATTGCCAACACCACAAAAACTAGAGAAGTGCTTAAAAGCCAATAAGTACTTAAAATAAGCCAATCCAAACACCCTTTATGTTTAAGGCGAGGTTAGTTGTTAAAGGTTTTGGCCAGAAGATGGGAGTTGACTTTGATGAAATTTTCTTCTCTGTCATGAAGATATCTTCTATTTGTGTAGTTCTAGGCTTAGTCGCGAGTCTAGATAAGGTTGAGCAGATGGATGTCAAGATTGCTTTTCTTCATGGTGATTTAGATGAAAAGATTTATGGAGTAGCCTGATGGTTTTGTAATTAAGCGAAAAGAAAACTATGTCTGCAAATTGAAAAAGAGCCTATATGGATTGAAATAAGCTCCAAGAAAATGGTATTTTTGAAGTTTGAATTTGTCTTTGAAAAATAAGGATACAAGAAAATTTATTCAGATCACTGTGTATTCTTCCAAAAGTTCTCTGATGATGGTTTTATTATCTTATTGTTTTATGTGGATGATATGCTTATTGTTGGCAAGAATAAATTCAGAATTGCAGTCCTTAAGAAGCAGTTGAGTAAATCGTTTGGGATGAAGGACTTGGGCCAATAATCTTGGGCATTAATGCACCAATACAGAGATAGAAATGAGTTATTTTTGTCCTAAAAACAATATATTAAAAAGGTATTGGTGAGATTCAATATGAGGAAAAAGTGGTTAGTATTCCTTTTGATAAACTTTTTAAACTGAATATTAGTCAGAGTCCATCTACTGATGAAGAGAAAAAGGAGATGTCTCGTATTCCTTACACTTCTGTTGTTGATAGTTTGATGTATGCAATAGTTTGCACTAGACCAAATATTGCACATGTCATTGGTATTGTTAGTAGATTCCATTCTAATCTCGACTAGGGACGTTGGGATACAGTAAAATGGATATTAAAGTATCTGAAAGGTACTACAGAGTTGAAGTTGTGCTTTGGCAGTGGCAAGCCTGAACTTATTTGTTATACAGACTCTGATTAGGAGGCAATCTTGATAATTTAGATCCACTTTCGGTTAGTTGATCACTTTTGCAGGAGGAGTTGTTTCTTGAAAATCTAGACTATAGAAGTGCATAGCTCTATCCACCACAAAAGCCAAATATATTATTTTCATCGAAGGTGCCAAAGAATTATTATGATGAAAGAGTTTATTAATGATCTTGGCTTTGAACAGTCAAAGTACGATCTTATTTTTCGATAATCAGAGTGCTATATGTCTCACTAAGCACTT